TCGCGCTGGCCTCCGCGGGGACGACGGGGAGGGAGGTGGCCTGGGGAACCTCTTCCGGGAAGGTCGGCTGCGTCGAGGAGGACCCCGGCTGCGGGGGCGAGTTGGGCGGCAGCGGGGGCTGGTTCGGGCTCGGGCCTGGCAGGACGGCCGCTGCAGCTGATGTGGAAGGACGGGCGTCATCCGGCCGCTGCGTCGGCGTGGCCAGATCGATGTTCGAGCCGACATCTGGTGCTCCCGACGACGGGGGATTGAATTCCGCCTCGGCCGGCCTCGTGGAGCCCTGGGCGCCGTCCACAGGCAGGATGTCTGTCGTGTAGACAAGGTCCGGAAGCCGCTGTCTGCGTCCACCTTTACCTTTTCCCTTTCTTCGGTTCTTCTTTCGATTCCTCTTCCCATCTTCCCTGTTCCTCTTCCTCCCCTTGCCACTGCTGACCGCGTCGCCGGCTATCACTTCGTCCCCGGCCAAAGGAGCGCCCCTGAAGGGGCCTCCCTGGGACACCCTGTGAGCGCCCTCGCCGAAGTACAGGGACGAGTCGGCCTGCGAGTCGAAGGCGTCGCCCCCGCGCGCGTCCTCCAGTCGCGTCTGCGGCAGACGGGCCTCGGGGGGCTGTGTCGTCGTGGTGGTTCTGTGGTATCCGAGGAGCTGCAGGACCTCGTCCTCGTTGGCGCCGCGATTCATGTATTCGAGGAGCTGGCTGAAGCCGATCCCTCTCTTCTTCAGCAACTCGAAGAATTCGTCATGCGAGGAAATGTTGATCATTTGCTTAATCTGCTGGATGGTCAGCAGAGCGGGCTCGCCCCTGGAGGCCGGGTTGCCGTACGGGTCGCCGCCGTGACTCACCGGGTCGCGCGCCCTCGACGGGTAGTTGTAGGAGCCTCGCGGAGGATATTCGTGGGCGTTGTAGTCGACGTAGCTCGGGCGCGGCGAGGTGCTCGGCCGCTCCTCCCGCTCCCAGTTGCGGAACCTGGTGGAGGACCTCTCGTTGCCGCTGGCGCTGCCGGCGCGGCCGTTGTGCCAGCGGCTGTTCTGCTCCTCGTAGGGCCGCTGCGGGAAGCTGCCGTGCGCGCCGTTCGACGCCGACGAGAAGTGCAGGGAGGGAACCTGACTCGACCAGTGCCTGTTGCCCTTCCGCGAGGAATACCTGCAAGAGAGGCTGTGATCAGGCGCCGAAGGGAAGACCCATCCCGTGGGAGAGGCTGAGCCCCACACCCAGGGGGAAACGGGAAGCCTTCGACACACTATAGGACAAAATAGCAACCAGAGACCACAGAAGCCTTGGCCAGGAATAATATTTTTATTGACTTTTAATTGCAAAACAAATTGAAAGGCTTACAAGACGGACTGTATATTGGCATAACGACGTATAGTTGTTAAAAAGTTATTACATCAACATTCATTCTTAATGGACCTTGAATATGGGCTTATAACTGATTACGAAATGTTCTTTCTCTTTCTCTCTCTCTCTCTCTCTCTCTCACACACACACACACACACACACACACACACACACACACATACACACACACACACACACACACACACACACACACACACACACACACACACACACACATACATGCACACAGACATATGTGCGTGTTCTAACAATAAGAATAACAACAATGACAATAATTATAATAAAAATAATAATAACATCATCAACAGCAACCACACACACACACACACACACACACACACACACACACACACGCACGCACGCACACTCCCTCCAAGCCCTTACTCCGTGTCCAGGTGCGACAGGTCCTCGCTTATCCTGTGGCCGAAGGTGTCGGGGCGGCCCTCCGAGGGGCTCGGCAGCCGGCGGGCCTGGGTGTCCCACGCGCCCTCGGACGCGCCCGCCTCGGCCTCCCGCGCGCCGCCCGCGGCCCTCGCGGGGTGGCCGCCGCCCCTCGCCCATCCGCCCTCGTCGCGGCCCACGTCGTAGCGACTCCACGGCGACGACGGCGACGGCGCCCTCGACCCCGGGGCGCCGGCGTCGCCGAAGGTCGCCGGCTCGACGAGCTGCGGGTCGGGCAGCGAGCGCCGCCCCGTGGCGCTGGACGCGTCGGCCACGGGCGGCCTGGAGCCCGAGGTGGCGGTGGCCACGGGCGCCAGCGGTTCGTGGCCGCCGCCGCTGCCGACGCGGGTGACGTGGCCCGACGTGGCCTTGGCTTGCCACGTGCTGTAGGGCGAGCGACTGGCCACCACGGGCGGCCCGGTGTCGCTGCCGCTGTCGCTCCTCACAGAGATGCCCACGCCGTGCCCGTGCCCGCTCCTGCAATCACAACTGCTCATCAGTTATTTGGGATTGGCGACGCTGTCATGCTCGCCACGACACCTCGGGGGAAGCGCTCGAGAGAGAGAGAGAGAGAGAGAGAGAGAGAGAGAGAGAGAGAGAGAGAGAGAGAGGGAGAAGGAGAAGGAGGAGAGGGAGAGGGAGAGGGAGAGGGAGAGAGGGAGAGAGGGAGAGAGGGAGAGAAAGAGAGAAAGAGAGAAAGAGAGAGAGAGAGAGAGAGAGAGAGGGAGGGAGAAGGAGAAGGAGGAGAGGGAGAGGGAGAGGGAGAGGGAGAGGGAGAGGGAGAGAGGGAGAGAGGGAGAGAGGGAGAGAGAGAGAAAGAGAGAAAGAGAGAAAGAGAGAGAGAGAGAGAGAGAGAGAGAGAGAGAGAGAGAGAGAGAGAGAGAGAGAGGCTGGCACCGGCACTCCAAATGCATTATTTCGGCAATGATTGCCTTTAGTGAAAATGATTGGTATTAGTAAAAATAAAATAGACTGAAGACAACAGTTTCGAACCAAATCCAAGTTTACATTATTTTGACATGTATCTCGATTATACCGAACAGCCCAAGTTACGACTCTTGATTGATACCAGGGTGAGAGTGGTTCGTTTCAGAGATCCGAAGCAGAAACTCGAACTCTTTATACCTGTCTGGAGGCCTGAGTGACGTCACAGTGGGCGGACTCTGTGCTGCGCGCGCCGATCGTGTTCGCTCATCCTGGGCCTGGAAACGAAACAAAAAATATATAGATATATATTTGTAAATTTTATCTACAAAAACTCATGCAAAAGATATGGAAGCATCTCTCCGACCTGGACAGACTTACAACTCATTGTTGTCGTGGGGGTGGGGGGTGGGGGGGAGGAACTCAGTCTTCGCCGCAACTAACTTTACGTCTGTTTTTTAATCCCTCTTTCCTTTTCCTTTTCTTCTTCCTCCTGCCCACTTCCTAAGGTGTGAGCTGCACTGAGAGGATGAAAGGCTGGGTTTGTGTCAACCGTGAACGGCCTCCAGGAGCCAGGGGCACGGAATTCCCTTGGTTAATCGCCTCGCCCATGCCCCTTAGAAGGACCCTGAGGAGTAGACTGATTCTTTCCCCCACTTTTTTTCAGACTCACTATGGCCGTTATTGAAGATTTTTAACTCTCATGGGGGGGGGGGGGCATTGAAGCTTGCCTCTTCATCAACTAGCCTAAGTTTGATTTTTCTGGTTTCCGCCCGGGGTCCATTATTCAATTTTCAGCAAACACTCCTTCGTGTTTCCCAACATCCTCCATCTCATCCTCCACTCCATCTCCTGCTGCATAGTCTCCATTGTCTACCACCCCCCCTCCCCCATCTACCTTATTCCTCCTCTTCATCCTTATTGTCTTCATCCCCCACACTACTACGACCTCTCTCCATACCATCCCGTCTTCCTCCCGCCCACGTATTTCTACTGCTTCTACCTTTGCAGACCTTCTGAGTTCCCTCTTTGACCCAGCCAAGTGGGATCGATTCTTTGTGATTCCCTTTACAAACCCTGACTTTGACAATACCGGTCTAGTCCAACGGTGTCTCCCATAAACAAGTAGGCAAAGTTTCCTTTCGCAGTCGTTTCGATCGTTTACGCCTTGTCACAGTCACAAGCTTCGTGTACTGTCTGATTGACCTCACTGGCACACCTATTCCTTCCCAAAAATCACTCGTCTCTTAATACTTGTACCGAAAATGTTTCCGTCTCCCCGACTGATTATCCTGTCTGCGCAAAGGACTGGTCAGATTGTTCTATGTGCCCAACCTGTTCATGACCGTTCACATTGCTCTGCTCAGTCACGCACGTGTGGCAGCTGTGGTGGCTCCCATAATGTATTTTATAGAAACTGCCCTGCCTACAAGCTCGAATATGAGGTAGCAGTTCCCGGTTTCAATCTAGGCCTCACTCCACGCGCGGCCAGACAGGAAGCACGCCGACGAGGTTTTCCTCTACCTATTCTAAAACTGTCCTTCGCTCCGTTCCCCTCCCATCTTTTCAAGATGTCTTAGGATCTCCCCCAGTATCTCTTCCCTCTATCCTGAACCATCCTACCTCTACTCCCTCTCTCCCCCAGTCAAATTCCTTTTCCAGTCTAAATCCAGATACTCCAATCTCTACCACTTCCCCGGTATCTACCCCCCTCCTCCTCCTCTTCTCTTCTTCTCCTCCTCCTCCTCCTCCTCCTCCTCCTCCTCCTCCTCCTCCTCCTCCTCCTCCTCCTCCTCCTCACTCTATCTGTGGCACCAGACAATCGAAACGGTCCTCTCCATTTTCTTCTACTACATCCTCTCCTGTACCTGTTCCTCTGCTCCTCGGACATCTATCTATCCCCTCTTCTCCTCACAAGAAAACCTCACTTTCCTAAACCTCCTTACCCAACTCCCCCCCCCCCCCCGAAACTCTTGAAGACATCCAACACTTCCTAAACACGACCCAAAAGAACGCTCGACTCCCTCACTCACCCTCCAGTCCCTCTTTTCCTCTACATTCAAAGTACTTGCAGATATCCATCCTCCGCTCATTCGAGTTCCCTCTACCCCTCTTCCTCCCACTCTCTCCCAACACACCCCATCCTCTCTTCCTCCTCTCCTCCTCCTCTGTGTACATCACCATTCCCTCTTCCTTCCTCATTATCCTTACCACTCCCTCCTGGATGCTCACGTGACGCCCTTATAATCCAACAGCGCCTTCTCCGTGTCCTTCCCCCTCCTGACATTCTTCCTGATCCTCCACCACCTTCCCTTCTTCCCTTATTTCATTCCCTAGATTCTTCTCCTGCTTCTCCAAGTACCATTTCTTACCCAAATTACTCGTTGATAAATAATGGCTCGTTTTGCGGTTGTCCTCACACACTGTTACTCTCCTTTCCTTAGATACATAAACACTCTGATATTCTCTATTTGATCTAATCGCTTTATGCTCTTAACCCCTTCCTCCTTTTAACTAATTCCCCTTCCTTAATCTATTTTCTCTCCCCTCTTTACCCCTTTTCACTACCATACTATCTCCCCGACGCTTTACAACCTTTGACATCTAACGCATTTTATACTAATCGTTAAATCATTATTATAATTTTCGCCGTAATACTTTACCAATGTGCTATATGACCTTTGATGTCGGGCACGTTTATTTGTTTTAATTACTAACCATTAACCCCTTCCCCGGCCCTTAAAAAGTCTAACTACGCAATTGCCTTCGATTATATGTGTGCGTCCGTGTGTGTGTGTGTGTATGTGTGTGTGTGTGTGTGTGTGTGTGTGTGTGTGTGTGTGTGTGTGTGTGTGTGTGTGTGTGTGTGTGTGTGTGAATATATAATCGCATACCAGCATGACAGTCATGCATAAAAAACATATTTCAAAATCAAGGTGATTATCTCCACCACATAGTCTGTCTTATGCATTTTTTCGGTGACGGACCCCCCCCCCCCTATTTACATACCATATACTACACCTCAAGAACAAAGCATTCATTGCACGATATGCAGAAACGCGTGAATTAATTAGTTATATCCAAATACAGTTGTGCCAAAAATTGTCAACAAAATGTCTGAAATTGTATGTCGTACAAAGTTTCCTCTAGATTTTTATGTATATATGCAAGTGTATATTTTACCCTTATCTGAAACCAAGCGAAATGTATCTTCTATTTGACGTCTGGTTTGCAATATTAATCAACATGAAAATCCCTTTGCACTTTCATACTATTTCACCCCACCTCCCTTCTGAAACGTTCTTAACTATATGAAATGAATTTCGTAATAGTTCAAGTCTTTTGAACGAGAGACCGACGGCAGTGTCAAAAAAAAAGATAAATGTGTAATGAACTACTGCATATGAAGGAGACATGTTTTTTGTGCGTTTATGAGTACACACATACATGCACAGCTACTCACACGCACAGTTACACGAAGTCACAGACACATACACAGTCGCACACATGCGTAAAATCACACACACACACATACACACACACACACACACACACACACACACTCATACGTACAGACACAGTGAAATCATCATATATTCTTGCCATAAAAGTGGTTTGTGTATAATAAAAATATGTGCGTCACTATTATTGACTGTTTACGTCTGCTCTGCCTCTTGCATCATCGTAGACGAGAGAGAGAGAGAGAGAGAGGGAGTGAGAGAGGTAGAGGGAGGAGAGAGAGGGAGAGGGAGAGAGAGAGGGAGTGAGAGAGAGAGGGAGAGAGAGAGAGAGAGAGAAGGAGGGAGTGAGAGAGAGAGGGAGGGAGGGAGGGAGAGGGGGGAGGGGGAAAAAAGAGAGAGAGAGAGAGAGAGAGAGAGAGAGAGAGAGAGAGAGAGAGAGAGAGAGAGAGAGGGAGGGAGAGAGAGAGAGAGAGAGAAAGAGAGAGAGAGAGAGAGAGAGAGAGACAAACAAAGACAGACAGACAGAGACAGAGGCAAGAGAGAGAGAAAGAGAATAAGAAATAACAAGGAAAGGAGAAAGAGAATATGAAAAGAAACAAGAGAAAGAGTATAAAAAAAAAACAAGAGAAAGAGAGAAAGAGAAAGAATATCTCCTGAGCGCACTCCCACCTCCCGCCATCTTTAAGAAAAAAAAGAAAAAACAACTAATAATACTTCTCGTATTTATAAACATTCCCTGAAGTATGCGACATATGTAAAGGGAAATATCATGTGTTGGGAGCCTGTTTGCTTTCCAAGAAGAAATACCAGAGGAGTTCATGTGAATTTTCTGTTCCTTGGTCGCTGTCTCGCGTTTACTGTGACGGATGATGCCTCAGCGGTGACATCTGGCGGCCGTCTTGGGCAGCGGCTTTATTACCTGCTTTCGGGGAAATGCAAAGTGATTCTTTTACCCGTAAGTGCGCAAATATATACACACACACGCAGACACACACACATACGCGCGCATACACACACGGACACACACACGGACACGCGCGCGCATACACACGCGCGCATACACACACGGACACATACACACACACACGCGCGCATACACACACGCATACACACACACATACACATGCACACACAGACATATGTGCGTGTTCTAACAATAAGAATAACAACAAAAACAATAACAATTATAGTAAAGATAATAATAACATGATCAACAGCAGCAACAACAATAACAATAATAATAATAATGATAACAGTAACAACAAAAGCAACAACAATAATGATAACAATAATTATTACAATAGAAATAATAATGATAATAATAATAATGATAATAATAATAACAATAATCATAATAATGATAATGTTAATAATAATGATAAAAATAATAATGATAATGATAATAATAATAATAATAATAATAATAATAATGTCAACAACAGTAACAACAACAATGATAATATTAATATAATTATGATAATAATAACAATAATGATATTAATAATGATAATAATAATAATAATGATGATATCAATGATATTAATGGTAATGTTAATGTTAATGATAACAATAATAATAATAATAATGATAATGATATAATGATAATGATAGTGATAATGATAATAATAATTATAATAATAATGATAATAATAATAATAATAATGATAATAATAATAATAATAATAATAATAATAATGATAATGATAATAATAATGATAATAATAATAATAATTATAATAATAATAATAATGATAACAATAATGATAATAATAATAGAATAATAATAACCACAACAACAACAATAATAACAATAACAA